GTCTTTTTGAAAGTAATATTTATTTATCTTATGAATACGCTGTTAGATGAAAAATCTAAATATCATTTAGATTTATATTCATGTAAATAATTGTTATTATTATTATCATCATTATAATTTTAGGCTAATGAAATAAATTCTTAGACTAAAAAAAAAAGACATTGAGCACTGGCAGCACAGGCTATCGGCTCTAATATAAATAAATGTACATTAGATAATGAGCTTAGTAGTATTGGTAAAGTAATATATAGAATTTATATTCGGTTCTGAAGCTGATTTTATAATGTCCAAAGGGTTAGTCGTTCCAAGTGCAATACTTTTAGCCAAGGAAAACTTAAGGCAGTTGCAGAGAATGTGCTTTATAGTTAGAGTTTGTCCACAACAGCAGATTGGGAAGGAAGACTTCTTCAAGATTCATTGGTGAGTTGCGATAGTATGACCAAGGCGAATTCTCGAAAATGTTTGGATCTTGGTTTTCTCAACGTTTGTTGGATATAAAGGTGGAATTAATTGAGGGTTAATGGAAGAGTAGTGTTGACGATGGTATTGTAAATTTCCTTCTGCAATTTTCACTTTAACGCTTCTCCCAATGTATCTTTGAAGATCCAACTTTTCCATGACATCATCCATAAATAGAGGAGCAGAAGCAGCATACTTTGCCGCTCGATCAACCTGCTCATTTCCCAATAAACCGATGTGAGTTGGTACCCATAACATTTTAATTTTTCCATCGGGTGTAGTAATTATATTCCTTAATTTGTTGATGGTGCTCCATCTCGAATTCGAAGGGTTCCGAATAGCTTGTAACACAGACAAACTGTCGATAACAATGACGGTTTTGAGTTTGCTTTTATGGGCAAGATTCGCAGCTTAAAGGATAGCTCTGGCTTCGGTTGTGAAAGTTGAAGTACTTTCGTGAAAAATGTGATTGAGGAGAACCTGTCCTGTAGCATCTACCACGGCACAAGCAGGAGGCAGGCCAAAAGATTTTGAGCCGTCTGTGTATAAAAGATTCCAACCAGTACTCTCCAATACCTGAGTTTTTTCAGCTATTAGATTCCTGAAGACGTAATTTGGAGTATCTTCTTTTTTCGGCATAGACAGCGAGATGTCAAAAGCGCAATCTTCCAAAATCCATGGAGGTTTAACACCAAAAGAGCGGAAAATTTTTAAGGGAATATTTAATTCCTTTGCGACGTACAAACAATGGCCAATTGAAGATGGTGACATTTTGAATTTTCTTCGCAATAATAATCTTTCTCACGTCCTCACCGAGAATAGATTTGTTTGAATTAAGAAACTTGGGGACTATTTTAGCTTTTAACTCATATAGTCTATTTTCTAAAGTTGGGATACCAGTTTCAATTATAATATTATTTATGGGCCTCGTCCGAAAAGCGTAACAACTTGTTCTGACGGCTTGGTGGTAGACCGGTTTAAGGATGTTGATATTAGATTTGCAGCTATTGCCATAAATTATCAAAGCCTAGTCAATCTTGCTTAACACAAACATTTTGGTAAGATAAGCAATAGTGTTAATATGCGCATTGCTTCTCCAAGCAACATACTGTATGAAATTCACCGTTGTTAAAATAAAATTTTTTAACCGAAGACAGTGTGCTTTCCAACGATGTTTGTTGGAAAAAGTTAGCCCGAGAATATGCAGCGTCTGCACGTTTAGTACTGGTAAGGCATTAATATGCATCAATAGATTTCCTGCATCGCAAATCTGCTTTCGACAAATGTGCATTTTTTTAGATTTTTGTATGGAAATTTTAGCCCTTGACGAGTTTGCCAATGCAGAGATCTTTCGTCCAATAGATTCGAGGATGTTGATTGCTTTCGTGTTGTCTATTTCTTTTGTAAAAATGTATACATCGTCCGCGTAGAGACAATGTTCCACTCTTGGTATACGGCAAAGAATTTTGCTAATTTCGTTGAAGGCGATTTGGAAAAGCATGACAGAGAGAGGAGATCCTTGCGGAATGCCATTGTTTAGCGGAAAGGGATCAGAAAGATAATTGTTAATTCTAACTTTGAACCGCCGATGCGACATGAATGATTTGATGTAGTTGAAGAATTTCTGTCCAACATTCCACGATTTCAAGAGTCTTAAAATAATATGAAGACCAACTCTGTTAAATGCTTTTTCGAAATCAATTGAGAGAATTGTTACGTGATATCGTTCGGAAATTGCTTTGCTTGTGAAATAATCAATATGTAACAGAGCGTCGATGCACCCTCTACCCCGCTTGAAACCAACTTGTTGCTTTGTTATCAGGTTGTTGGACTCAAGAAACCGAGATAATCTAGATGCCATAATCCGATGCGATGGAGACTTTTTTAGACTTTAGAATTGGAACAACTGCTGCCAGTTTCCACATGTATGGCCAGCCAAAAATACCGTATTATATAGGTCCAGCAATTTCTTTTTACTTAAATTAGACAGCGCACTGATCATTTGGTAAGGGATGTGATCTACACCAGGTGTTCTCCCCTTCGATTTGGAGAGACAACTTTCAAGTTCTAAGGTAGATATGCAATTTTCTAGGAAGGTGGCACATCTGTCAATACAATTTGAAAGAGTAATTGGAGTCCTTTTATTTTCGATGAAAGCACTGAAAAAGCTGCCAGAGGAGTACTCGCACCACGGAGAATAAATTGTAGAGTTCTTGCTGAAAAAATGATTGCGAAGGTGGAATATAGAGCGAAAGCACTCTAAATTATTATTAATTAATTAATTAATTATTATTAAAATTATTATTATTTGTATCGCTATGGCTTGTATATTAGAGCTTAAATTTATGCGTTTGTGTGGAATATAAATTTTGATCAGCATTGGTGAAATATCCAGTATATGATTTGGGTGGAATAGGATTAGAAGAGGTTCTACAATGGGTTTCTTGAAGCGATATAAAGGTTGGACTGAAATCACTTACTATTGTACGGAGTTCATCAAAATTATTAAGAAGTCCCTTAATGTTCCATTGTAGAATTTTGAAAACTTTATTTAATTGTAGTGACATGGAGTTGAAAGTAGGTTAAGTTGACATGTCAGCGTCTCCGTCGAAAATGTCACTATAAGAATTTTGCGTGAATAATTTGTTCTTACCAGCAGAATAATCTGTACTTAGGTGTTTGCGTATATTTGAAGTGCAACGAGTGGGCACACGTGAATGATTTGAAATTGAAGGTTGATTGAGGGATGGAAGATTGGATTCATTACAGCTTGTAATTTGTTGAGTAGAGTTGAGAACTGATGATTCTGGGGGATTTAGTTTATTAGATTTTGGCATATGTTTGTTGTTTTAATTTTACCAATATTATCTTTGGCGGGCGATGGAATTGATTTGGCAATGTAATTTTTGGTTGATGGTAGAACAGGTTTTTCATTGGAAGGAGTTGGAATTAAAGGCTTATTAGGTATGTTTTGCGAGGCGCCAACAGCGTAGGTATTGCTTTTGCTAATTCTCTGGGTTCCAGATGGATTAATTTCCCGGTATTTGCGTCGCGCTTCACCCATGCTACAATAATTTTCTGTTTTGATTTTTGGAATTTCACGCATTTGTATAAAACGCGGGCATTGTTTATCTAACGCCGAGTGTTGATCGTTGCAATTTAAGCAGAAGCTACGCGTACAGTTTTCAGAATGTGGAGGAAGACTTCAGTTAGCACAGTTATGGAGGGATCAGTTGGAGAAATCACAACATATTTTTTGTCGATAGGAACGATGCTACTGGTTGGCAACACCGGAAAGTCGGAATTTTTAATTTTTTTTCTTTGGGGGATACGTCTGCTAATAGATGAAATCTATTTGAGTTTTTATCAGGCGGCCCCGGGGCCATTATGCCTTACGGTTGTCTATTATTTAGCAAATTGGTAAATAACCACTCACTTGAAAAGTTTTGGGAACTGCTGAGGATAATGACAATTGTTTTCAATATTTTATTTTTCTTTTATGTTTTTTGTTTTTTTGATTTTTTTATTATATTTACAAAAACCGAAAGCAAATATCGTATCTGCGACAATCAGTTGCAGCAAAAGCACAGAAAACACACGAGTAACACACAAAAAGACACCGAAAACAATTAAAAAAATCACAGACGAAAAACAAAACACGCACTACTCAGAACACAAGTCGATGTCGAATGAAATAATTGTTAAAAAAGTGTTTTGGTCTTTACTTCTTGCTCTCTTTTACTGGCAAACTCCCACCGTAAAACAAAAGTTTACATTAACAATACCAGCAATACGTAAATAAATGAAGCCCAACAAAAACATTGAATACATTTCGCTAGCAACATTTGCGCAACAAAACTATTTAGTACCACTTCGAAGCAGCCAAAGTTTTAGAAGTCTGTTTGTACCTACCAGCTGATATAGCGAAACATTGTTTAAATTCCTATGTAGTGGAGGAGAAATTAATTTGTTAATTTTATGAATTTTATAGCTATAGTAATATATATATATATGTAAATATAAATAATTTAAATTAAATGTTATAAATGAATCAATTAATTTCTGTCTAAGACTTAGGTATATAAGTGAAGTTTCATTGCGCTTTCTCAAGCTACAATTTCATAAGAATATAACGATTAGCCCTGATTTGTTGTAAACAATTTGGAACAAGCAGCTATCATTACGCTAAAAGAACAGATAATACATGCAAACATGAATTTAGACTGAAGTTGTAGTTTTTATTTCTATTTTTCTGTTCCCTCTCCTCCCATTGTTCCTTTAAAAAAATTTGAACTGAGGAACATATATATTAAAACTACGGCCAATTTCATGGAAGGCATAAAAAATTAAATACAAAATTTTTCGAGACACGAAGATAATACTTAAATATGAATGTTTGTACCAGTACTCTATATATATTTAGAAAATCATTTTGGATTAATTAAAATGTAAAAACAATTTCCAGCTTTAAGAATTACATACGCAAGTGAAACATCAAACTGCCATTAAATTGGAAGTTAGGTTATTAAAAAAGCGGGCTGTTTTCAATAATTTCTATATTTATTTTATTAAAATAGCTCACTTTTACATCAATTGTTCTGAGGCTTTGACCATTCAGCGCTTAGAATCAAATGGTCGTACCCATGACCGTTAAGAATTTCTATAGCGGCCGCGGCATCTTGACGATGCCTAAAGTGTACATAGGCAAAGCCCTTGCATATTCCAGTATTTTTGTCACGTGCTAAGTACATTTTCGTATGTTGACCAATACGTTTAATTAGTTCCTCGAGATCTTGCTCAGTCATTGACTCAGACAAATTAGATATACGTATAGCTGCAGTGTCATCACGCCCGCGCATACCCATGCCAGATTTCTGATTATCCTTAAGAAAGGGCGGTACATATTTTCCCGGCTTAGGAGCTTCGGTAGCAGCAGCTGCTGCCGCTGACGCTTTCTTCTCCATTAAATTAGTGTCCATGGCTGTACCTTTGTATGGACAATTTACAGACCAATGTTCACCGTTACAAATACGACATTTCGCTATATTTTTCGTAGGATCCAACAAAGGATCAGCCGTTTTCTCCTCTTCTTTAATATTAAGAAATTGCATGAATATTTCTTCAGCCACCATGGTGGTCTGCGAATTAGGGCCAGGTTTGTCGTTTTTAGATTCACCAAACTTCGTCCAGGTGCGGCGTTTAGCTACGGTTTTGGGCACAACCTGTTTGGATATCTTGTACGTTCGTACCACTTTCACCTTTTTATCGTCCTTGTTGTACTTATATTCAGTTACATACTTGAAACCATTCTCAAAGTCTTCCGTAGGCGGAGGTAAATTGCCAAAGTCAAATTCAACCTCATCAGCCCATGATTTTATTGTTTCAACGCCTGGCATCTACGACAATACATTAAAGAAAGAGACTATTATTATAGTAAACTTATAATTCTTACATCCTGGAAGACAAACCTTACAAATCTTAATTTTTTTCTTTATAATATGAATAAGATTTCAACAAATTACCCGACCTGAGTCACAAATGCCACGAAATGCGGACAATGTAATTAATAACTAAAAATTTTGAAGCAGTCAGCTTTGGTATATATATAAAAAAGCATGTTGTAATCAAAATAAATCAGAGTTGGCAATTGATAAAATAAAACTCCTAAGCACGAGATTCATATAATATATTCGAAACTATGTAATATAACAATCTGAGCAATAGAATTTAAACCGCGATTCTATACTTGTGTATGGAAAACATCAGTAAGAAATAAACATATATAAGCGTTTTGATAATGAGGAGAGGAGACGATTCTCGTTAATAAATTGAGTTGTATAATCATCACTTATAAGTAAGAGAGATAATGAATGCAAAAATCAGAAAATTTAGTACATACACTTGAGTATAATAGAGAATTAATTGTAAATCCTTCTAATTCGCATTTTTATTAATGGTTATGTATTTATCACAGTGCTACGATTTCTCGTCTGTTAATAAAAAGTTTGCAGAATCCTAATAACAGCGTCTAATCCGTTGTAAAGAAAGTTAAGTTTTATATAATTTTACTTTTATTTACGTTAGTATACTTTTCTTGCTGATTGTATCCTGCTGGATGACTATTATTTTCTCTTTAGTTTTTTAAAATAAATGTCGAAAGACAAAAGCCATGTATAATGCAAAATTAAATTGTTTTCAAGTTACGTTATCCCTTAATTTGTTCTTTATTTAAAAATTTCCAAGTGGTCAACATAATGGCCCACCGCACTACCATATTTTTTTATAGGAAATGTAAACAAAAACATATGAAGGGTAATCATGTAAACAGACGATTATCGCCAGGTTTTTTTAAGAGACAATTGATTATCGCGAAGAGACTAATCGGGAACTAATATCGTTAATATTTCTCCTCAAATTTTCCATTTCAATGCATTAATAACTAAGAGAGGCGTAAAAGATGAGAGCTAAATTAGCCTTTTTTTTACAAATTATGGACGGCTTTGATGGTCGCTTTAACCTACTGAAACTAGCCTTAATAGATGGATACTTATGGTCAGACAGAATTAAATTCATCGTCCGTTCCGATCTTGCAAATAGTATTTTCTCATGTAAATATCCTGGTCTTCGAGTGCGGATGAACTTATGCAAAGCAGTAGTTTCCTGTTATCGAAAATTTTCGATTATGTAGGGAAGCTCGTGTGTATTTGCATCGCAGTTGCAATGCGTTTTGAAAGTGATTTTTTAAAGCAGCCTCACTTTCCGACCTGCTTGATACTCCCATTGGTTTACTCACCGATTCCTGTATATCTTCCGTTACAACCTCGAATACTTTAGCAGTTTTCAGGCCTTTAATTGCCTGACTCTCGCCCGATTGCCTTCACTATTTGCTCCTCTATATGGGTGAGACGAACTCTTTCATTAGTACATATTCACGTGATGCGTCCTAAATAACTTACGTTAAATATAATATATACAAACAATCATTTGTACGTGGTTGCATACATATTGTATTTAAATTAATAATAATACTAAGATTGATGGTAGCTCTGTTAAAATATACTTAGGATGTAAAATAGTCGGTAGACTTGCAAAATGTTGGCAGATATGAAACCAGTTAATAAATTTGTACAGTGCAAATTCGAGTTTCTTACAAAAAATAAAGTGAGTTCCATTACATCTTTGTTACGGAATATTTTTATTATTGTGACCTTTTGTTGCTTCACTATCTTTGATTAATGACTCAACGTCAACTCAATTTTTATTAACGAGAACCATCACCACAAGTGGCAAATTTGATATCGAACGTGCTAAATAACGAGAACAGTAAACCGGCCCTTGTTTTTTTTTTTTTTCCTTCGGTAAGCAAACACTTTTTGTGCAATAGAAAGGTAATCTTTTTTGTTATGCGCAAAATCAATGGTTAAAAATTGAAATGTACTTACAGTCTTAATGATTGCTGATCCAAGAGCCTTTTAGTATACAGCATGCTTTATCAAAAACTGCTACTGAAATAAGCAAATAAAAAGACCGAATGATGATATTCGCGCTGGGATTGTTTGGTTTCGAAACAGAACAGTAAACAAGAGATTAAAAGAATAGCTCGTTTGGATCCTTCAGTGAAAGATGAAAACAGTGGATTTAATGGATAACGACAAAATGTATCAACACTTATGGTGACAGTTGTTTTTGACGGTGACGCTTGCGCGCACTATTCATCGACTGCACGGATGGAAGCAATTGAAAATAATATCGAATATATATATTGTAGCATTATCGGGCTGTCGCTCTCTACCGCTTTACACAAATTATCGCTATGTTCCAATTTTATTAACTATTGCTAAGTTTACATTCTCATTTCAATTGCGACACGTAACCTAGTTAAGTTAGCCTAATTTAGTCGTAACTAGTTAATTGTATTATTATGCTAAGTTAGCATTACAATTATTAGTTATATAAGATACTGACCATACCTCAGTGATGGTCAGAACCAAATTCGTAATAAAGACTTAAAGAATATTAAATTTGAGTGTTTTCACTACATGGCGACCGTGACAGGACGTCGGTGAAATTTTTATTTTTTTTTCACTGGCGTCCTAGATTATCCTAGGAAAAAAAACTTTACATGGTGAAATTTTTAAAAAAAAAAAAAATTAATTTGTGGAGGCCTTGTCAAAGGAAACGGAATTTAAAAACAAAAAAAAAAAGAAAGGATAAAAAGAAACTATTTAAAAAAAAAAAAACAATCTATATATATATTGTGAAAATTGCAGGAACTTTAAAAAACAAAAAACACATATATAATAAAACACAAAAAAAAAAAGGAAATTTCGTGTTTAACGGAATTAGTCCAGTTGTGAAAAAACATATGAATAAAAATTGCAAGAGCTTAATACAAAATCTAGATTAAACTCAATAATATCAGATTTTGAAACATAAATAACAAAAGGAAAAGTGAAATACATTTTTGAAACACTTACATGGAAAAGAAAGCCAATAAATTCCAAATTCACATTAACTGAAAAAAAAAAAAACCTAAAGTGGCCAGAGGTGCATTGTGGTAATGCATAGATATGCAATTAAATATTAAACAAATACGAGAAATCAAAAATAATAGAAATTAAAAACACGACTGATGAACAACAACAAAGCGGTAACAACAATAATGAAACTTCAAATCCAAGAAACTCCACAATTGGAAGAAGCTGCCAGCTCAACAATAGCCAGAGCCGCCGAAAGTAACCACGAGGGATCAACAATACATCAACCGCAAGTATACTCTAGCAAATATAGCAGAGATGCAAATACCTTATAATTAATTATATTATATTATATTATATTATATTATTTAAGGATAATAAATTAACAGTGCATATATATACATATATAACTTTTTATAAACAAATTTAAAGTTAATTTTTAATACTTTTTTAATTATTCCAATACTATTTAAGTGTAAAACAGTGCTTTTAAACAAATTTTTTTTTTATATATATACATATATAGAGCGTCTAATTTAAGAGTCAGAATAGGACTATATTTTATAAAAATTTACACACAGAAACGTCGTTAATATAAACACTACAACATAACAAAATAAAAAGGAGAAAACATTAAGCAGATTACTTTAAATATCTCCGTGTATTGAGAAAAAGGACGAAAGAAAACTAATCTTTTCTATTTATTTTACAAATTTTGCATTATTATGGGGGGCTAGAAAAAAAAAATATATTCAAAGCAGGCCAATGAGACACTAACTGTCTAGAGCAACCCCTCCAAATAAACACACAGGCCACATGAGCCCTCGCCCGCAATAGACCCCCCTCCCCCGCAAGACACCGATATCCCAGAACCCGGCAACGGGCAATCATCCTTCACGCCGATATATTATGAACAAGCCCACCCTCTCTCATCAGTGGACGATGTGGAGACAGTAGATTTCCAAGAACAAGTTTCGGAAAGAAGGTACAGACGACAACTCAAGCAGGCACAGCATCCAAAGGTCAATACATCAAACTATGCATGGTTTTAATATTTGAAAATAATTGGCAATCATCCAGGAACTACTAAATCGCTCGAATCTATTCACTTAGATTTGAAGATGATTAAATTCTTTGTTCCACAAAAGATTAAATTCTTTGTGCCACACACACAAAAAAAAAAAACAACTAGAAAGGAAACATACGAATCAAGGGGAGAGATAATTACGTAGCGGACGCCCTATCCCGCATAACAATTAAAGATCTGAAAGAAATAAACAGTAAATTATATACGGTAGTAACAAGATCTGCAACGCGGCAGAAAGATATCGGCACAGAAAAGCGACATGTAAGCGAACATAAGAATGCGGCGCCCAAAGTTTATAAAGTCATTAATAATAATGACGTGCGGAAATTTGTGCAATTAAAATTTGACTCCGATAAATGTTGCATGAAACATGGGAGGAAAATAATTGCCAAATTCGTAATAAACGACATTTATACCAATGCAAAACTCGACTTAGGTCAGTTTTTCCAAAGGCTTGAAACACAAGCCGGTATAACAAAATTGTCGAAATTCAAAGTGTCACCAAGCGAGAGGATTTTCGAATCCGTATCGCAGAACAAATTTAAAATAATGGGCAATAAGATATTAAAAAATATAAGAGTAGCGCTACTCCAAGAGGTGACAATTATAAACAAAAACAATAAGCCCGCAATCGAAACCATTTCACAAAAATACCACAATGACCCAATAGAAGGGGGTCACACTGGAATCACACGTACCTTGTGGAAAATACGAAGGTACTATTACTGGCCGCAAATGACAAAAACAATAGCCAAGTATGTCAAAGAATGTTCGCTATGCCAAAAAGCCAAAATTACAACCCATACCCAAACCCCAATGACCATAACCCCAAAACCAGCAACTGCTTTCGATACAGTTGTAGTCGACACCATAGGCCCATTACCAAGGACAGAAAAAGGTAATGAATATGCGATAACACTAATTTGCGACCTCACCAAATATTTAGTGACAATTCCGGTCACAGATAAAAGTGCTAAAACCGTAGCAAAGGCAATCTTTGAGAACT